AGATAGATAGATAGATAGATAGATAGATAGATAGATAGATAGATAGATAGATAGAGTCCTACAAGTTGTTCTCTGACTCAAGATCCATGTTGTAGCATATGGTACACACAGAGATAATAAATAATATAAAATTATAGTAAGCAAACATTTTTAAAAGTTCAAGAGTAGTCACCATGTAGTTTCTTGAACCAAAGGGTAGAGTAGCTGATCCTCATGTAGTACAACTGAAGTCTTCACTCCGCACAGCTCCATATAGATAGGGGCGCTTCAATTTCATGTGTCTCTGCCTTTTTTTCTTCATTATTATATTTTTATTCTGTTGGAGAATTTTCAGAAAATCACGGCTTCAGCAAACACTTCACTAACATTTATTGAGCAACTGTTTTGTGCCAATACTTGTGCTACACTTGCACTAGGGTGCCAAGGTCTGTAACAAAGTTCACAATGGGTTTCAATGGACTTGAGCCAATAAGGAGTCAGTAAGTAATATTTTAAAGTAGTTTTCTTTTTAAGTATCCAAACATAGTCCAAAGTTTTGGAGAATTTAATAAAACTACAACAAGGTACACAGTAATAGAAACCTTTACTCTTCAAAGATGTTAAGTATATATCTCATGAAGAAAGTGAATTTATATACAAGTTTAAGTAAGGCATGGTGGCACGGGAGACAGAGGCCAGGATTAGTACAATTTCAAGGCCACCAGGCCAGCTAGACAGGTACATAGCAAGACTCTATGAAAAAAATGTACACATTTAAGGGAAAGTTGAAATGTTAAATGTGCCCTACTTGGGCTTACAAACATAACCTGCTTCACACTTGCTCTCTCTGCTGCATTTCTCTCTGAATTTCTTGTAAGTTGAGGATGAATGACAGTTTGCTCCTGAATAATTCAGTTCACACCCAAGAACAAGAACATTGTCTTATATAACCATGATGCCATCATTATGCCTACAAAGGTAGGAGTTCTTAATATCTACTACTGAACAGCTAGTCCATACTAATCTTCCCCATTTTTACCTCCAACTGCCACCCATACCATTACTTTTTTAAAAACTTTTCAAAAAAACAGAATCTAATCTTTATATTTCTCCAGTCAATGGTGGATTTTTTTTTCCCAAGTTAGGCCAGTGATCTTGCAAAAATGCCCTAGGTTTTGCGTCGGTCGCTGCCTCATGGCTAATCTATCACCCTACCTCTTGTTTGTCGCATAAACTCCGTGTTAGAACTAAAAGCATATTGAGATTTGCGTTTACATTTACTTCTTTATTCTGCATGCATGGGTGTGGACGTGTACACATGTAGAAGTCAGAGGTAACCTGACTTCTCCATGTGGGATTTGGGAATCAAACTCAGGCTTGGCAGCAAGCATCTTCACCAGCTCATGTTGAGATACTGATTGAACATTTTTCATAAGGTGTCACCGGGTGCTCCATATTGCATCATATCAGGAGGCGCGTTCTGGATTGTTCCACCAGTCACGATGCCAAGTTTGATCTGGCTCTAGGCATTGATTTTGCTCTAGGGATCTCTCTCTCTCTCTCTCTCTCTCTCTCTCTCTGTCTCTCTCTGTCTCTCTCTGTCTCTCCCTCCCTCCCTCTCTCCCTCCCTCCCTCCCTCCCTCCCTCTTTTTCTCTGTCTCTCCCTCCCTCCCTCCCTCTCTCTCTCTCTCTCTGTCTCTCCCTCCCCCCTCCCTCTCTCCCTCCCTCCCTCTCTTTCTCTGTCTCTCCCTCCCTCCCTCCCTCCCCCCTCCCCCTCTCTCTCTCTCTCTCTCCCTCCCTCCCTCCCTCCCCCCCCTCTCTCTCCCTCCCTCCCTCTCTCCCTCTCTCTCTCTCTCTCTCACTATAAGGGCACTTGTTTCCCTCTTACAATTAACAAGTAATTGAGGGGGCGACACCTTGGCTCTGAGCTAACATCCTATCTCCAGCTGCTCCCATCTGACGACTTTAGATCCTTGTCTTTGCCTAAATCAATATTCCATCGGTGCTCGTATCTATTTTTAATACACTTTGAAGATGCATAAGACACGCTCAGTCACCGCTAGTGACAGCAGCTGTATTTATCTGTTGAGTGCGCAAGTTCACACGGCAGTAATAATAAGTTAGACTGACTGAATGCTTGCTGAGGACCCAGGCGGCCTAAGTGCGAGCCCAGCCCACCATTTGCTGAGTGAACTGAACAAAATCTAGTCCTCTCTGTTTTTGTTTCTTGAGTTGCAAAGGAGAGAAAGTGAGTGATGAGGAGGCAGGTGGGGCTGTCTGAGGGCTGGATAATTTATACAGGTTTCCAAAACAGTGCATTGTTGGTGCTGTTGCTGTTATTGCCTCGTGGCTAATCGGTTTCTCTACCTCTCATTTTGCTTGTACACTCCACCTCAGAACCTCATGTGCCAATCTAAGGCTTGGCAGGCATTAAATTGTTTACTTCCCCTGGCGTAGCCAAGAAAACACCAGCAATGTCATTCCTTCACACATAAGAAAATTGAGGTGCAAAGAGGCCAGAGTACCTCACAGAAGGTCACTCGCAGTAGAACCAGTTTGACTCCAAGGAGTCTGATTCCAGAACATTCTCTCTAAAGGATGGCACGTGGAAGGAGGAATGGATGGAAATCAACAAAAACGGCCGAGTATACCAGGGTTGAAGTTGAAAAATCTAGCGTGACTACCCAAACACATTGCAAGTTTTGAACTTTCAAATAAGAACGTCATTTGGCAAAGTGTAGATTTGTGTGCTTGTTACATTTACATCACTTGGAACCTTCCAAGAACATGGAAGAGTTGGGATTGGGAGCGAGGAGAGGAGAACCAGAAGGCAGAGGCGGAAACTTCTTCAGCATACAAGAGAGAAGTGATGAGACCTCAAAGCCTCAGGGTGAAACATGGGATTTTTGATAGCGTTGGGA